AAAAAAAAAAAAAAAATACATTACGTAGCCATGTTTTCATTTCATGATTTTTCATTGTTTTTATAAACTGTAATTAATATTATATATCTCCATTGTTTAATTTTAAGGAATGCCCAAAGAAAGGTATTGAAAATTATTTTTGAAAGAATTAATAAGCAGAACTGTTGGATGTGTTAATGAAATTGTGCATTTAATAAGCAGGCCAGTTTGGTTCGAAAGTTTAGAAATCTCCCAAAATCGAACTGAAAATGTCGGTTTTGCTATGAAGCTAACCGTTGTCTCCATAGCAGGGCCAACTTTATATATACACCCCCCTGTATTATACGAAATCTGCGTCTTATCCCCCTGTATTTTAAAAAATGCGTCATACCCCCTTGTATTATACTTTTGATTGCGCGTTATCCCCTAAAAATGCATCATACCCCCTTGTATTATACGAGTTTAGGGGATGACGCGCAATCAAAAGTATAATACAAGGGGGTATGACGCATTTTTTAAAATACAGGGGGATAAGGTGCAGATTTCGTATAATACAGGGGGGTTTGACGCAATTTACCCGTTGAAAAATTAATTCTGTTTCAGGATTTAGAACTATTTCATATCAGATCGGCTCTATGGAGGTGAAATTATTATCTAAATCATTTTTTTTTTTTCAAATTAATATGAAATATCGGCATGTTTTTCTAAATTTTCAGTTTTAATGTATTTTTAATCTTTAATTAAAATCAACTTTTAATAAATAAGAATAGATAGAGATGAATTACAATTTTAGTAAGGTTAACTCTTAATAAAGTGTATATGACTTTGAAAATATCATTTTATATAACATTTTTGTCCCAAGCAAGTTGGGGTAGGCTAGGGATGAAACCCAAGAGAACAAGAGAAAATATACCATTATATAAGATGCAATAAAAGTTAAAATGAGATAACGTATTTAAACTTTAGAAAACATTTATATTTTTATGAAGTTCAATCGATATTATTATGTTACTGAGAGTGTGATTTGGATATGCATTTGATTGATTTTTTATTATTTTTTTTGTTAATTATAGTTAATTTAAAAAATCTGTTATGATTAGTTATTAATGGGAATTTAAGTTTAAATTAAAATATATTTAAAATAAAATGAAAGTTAATTTGATGTAAAAGTAAGAGAAAAATGATTGGGAGTGATAATTAAAATTATGTGAGTTGATGAATAGTGAATTACAGTTGATGTGATGTGTAAGAATGATTGGTTGATATTATCTAATTATATTGGTAATTTTGAAGATAATGAGGTTGAGTTGTTAAATTTGAGTTTTGATAGATTTTTTACTAGTTGCGTTTATATCTCTTGAAAAAAAAAAAGCGTTTATATCCAATCACACCATAAATATTACGAAAATATTCAATTAATTAGAACTTAAAATGATATTAAATCAAAACACATAAAAAATTTAGAGTTGTAGGTTTGTTCTTCGATTTAGATCATTTATTTTTTGTTCGGTTCGGTTCAACAATTGTCAACAATTATTTTTTGATTTACAATAATTTAGATTTACTTTTTGGAACAGCTCGATATACTCTGGTTCTCGTGCTAAGCTTTATAGGCAATGACAATAGGCTTTGGATAGTTACTTGTGAATGGATTGATTGCAATCTATTTTGTATTATATTTATTAAATGAATGACACATATGTAATGATCTCATATATTTTCGTGCTAAGCTTTATATGGCATACTAAAGGCTTTGGATTATTGCCAATCAATGGAATCATAATTTATTGTGTTATATTTCATTAAATGAATGACACATATATAGCGATCTTATATCTGTGGTTCTGGGGCAGATCTAGTTAAGGACAAGTATAGGCTTAAGACTGAAAAAAAAGAAAAATATATCAAAAAAATTACTAGCGGCCTGTAGTGCCTCGTTTGAATTTTAATTTTTTCTGATTTTATTTTATTAATTTTGATGTCTTAATTATGTGGAAGAATATATTATTATTGAGTGAAATATTGCCAGTCGTTTTATTTTATTTTTCCGGTCGTCGTTCGGATTGAACCGAGCCATTTAAACATAAGTTGAACCTTAAGGGAACCTGGCCCGAATGCCGCGAACCCGTGCTCGGCCCGCCTTCCCCTTTTACTTGGTTGGCAAGTTTTGTATCCTAAGTCTACAAATATTTGATCCCACTCTCTTTCTTTTTATTTTTACACTGCAATCCTCTTCTCTCTCACGTAAAAATTACTCCCCACTCTCATTAAACCGATCGCCACCGCGAGCATCCCAACGTTCTCCCCTCCTCGCGCCAGTGCAAGCCCGGCGCCCTCCCGAAGCGGCGACCGAGTCTCCACGATCCCCGTTCGTGATCAACCGAGGTCCCCAACTCCTGTTCGTGCTTGTCTCGACTAGCAAGGGCCCGTTCCCTTCCTTTTGTGACGTGTTTTATCATCATATTAGATGTATGCTTAGGTTGTGATGTAATTTATCATATTAGATGTATGCTTAGGTTGCGATGTACTTATTGTTGGAGTAGTATACCCGGCGTTCCAATCAGATTGGACGTATTCTACTT